TGTGGTATGCCTATTTCACCAAGAAGGATACTGGTCACCAGAGAAGTTAAGAAACTTGACTCAAGCCACACAGCTTGTAAACCAGATGTTGTTTTGAAAATTATATGTGCTAATGCATACAAAGCACTTAGAAAAATGATTAGCACATAACACGCATTCAGTAACAGTGAGCATTAATATTATATAGAACATACTGGGAAAAACTTGAATTTTGCAACCTATATGTAGTTATGGCTGTTAAATCAAGTTTCAAAATAACAACAAAGAAGAAAAATTATGTAGAGAAAAGTAAGAAACTGCTAGTGGGAAAGGATGTTAGGGTTTCAGTGAGGACGCATGCATGTATGCTAAGTCACTTCAGTCGTGTCCGACTCTGTGACTCCAGGGACTGTAGCCCACCAGGCTCCTCTGCCCATGGGATTCTCCAGGCAAGAATACTGAAGTGGGTTGGCATTCCCTTCTCCAAGGGATCTTCCCAACCCAGGGATCGAACCCACATCTCTTATGCCTCCTGCATTGGCAAGCAGGTTCTTTGCCACTAGCATTACCTGGGAAGCCCTTTGGTGAGGAGTTCAGTTCAGTTCAGCCCATTCGCTCAGTTATGTCTGACTCTTTGTGACCTCATGGACTGCAGCAGTCCAGGCTTCCCTGTCCATCACCAACTTCCAGAGCCTACTCAAACTCATGTCCATCATGTTGGTGATGCCATCCAACCATATCATCCTCTGTCATCCCCTTCTTCTCCTGCCTTCAGTCTTTCTCAGCATCAGGGTCTTTTCCAATGAGTTGGTTCTTCGCATCAGGAGACCAAAGTAGTGGAGTTTCAGCTTCAGCATCAGTGCTTCCAATGATTATTCAGGACTGATTTCCTTTAGAATGGACTGGTTAGATTTCCTTGCAGTCCAAGGGACTCAAGAGTCTTCTCCAACACCACAATTCAAAAGCATCAATTCTTTGGCACTCAGCTTTCTTTATAGTCCAACTCTCACATCTATACATGACTACTGGAAAAACCATAGCTTTGACTAGATGGACCTTTGTTGGTAAAGTAATGTGTCTGCTTTTTAATATGCTGCCTAGGTTGATCATAGCTTTTCTTCCAAGAAACAAGAATCTTTTAATTTCATAGCTGCAGTCACGATCTGCAGTGATTTTGGAGCCCCCCAAAAATAAAGTCTCTCACTGTTTCCCCATCTATTTACCATGAAGTGATGGGATCAAATGCCATCTTAGTTTTCTGATTGTTGAGTTTTAAGCCAACTTTTTCACTCTCCTCTTTCACTTTCATCAAGAGGCTCTTTAGTTCTTCTTCACTTTCTGCCATGAGGGTGGTGTCATCTGCATACCTGAGATTACTAATATTTCTGCCAGAAATCTTGATTCCAGCTTGTGCTTCACGCAGCACAGCATTTCTCATAATGTACTCTGCTGCTGCTAAGTCACTTCAGTCGTGTCCGACTCTGTGCGACCCCATAGACGGCAGCCCACCAGGCTCCCCCGTCCATGGAATTTTCCAGGCAAGAGTACTGGAGTGGGTTGCCATTGCCTTCTTTGAATGTACTCTGAAGATAAGTTAAATAAACAGGGTGACAATATATCACCTTTATGTACTCATTTCCCGATTTGGAACCAGTCTGTTATTCCATGTCCAGTTCTTTCCAACTGTTGCTTCTTGACCTGCATACAGATTTCTTAGGAGGCAGGTCAGGTGGTCTGGTATTCCCATCTCTTTAAGAATTTTCCACAGTTTGTTGTGATCCACACGGTCAAAGGCTTTGGTGTAGTCAATGAAGCAGATGTTTTTCTGGAACTCTCTTGCTTTTTCAATGACCCAGTGGATGTTGGCAATTTGATCTTTGGTTCCTCTGCCTTTTCTCAATCCAGCTTGAACATCCAGAAGTTCACAGTTCATGTATTGTTGAAGCTTGGCTTGGAGAATTTTGAGCATTACTTTGTTGAGGAAGGAGGACTTAATTTAGTGATGTGTTCCCATAGTTTGAATTTCTTAGCATATGTACGTATCCTCTTATTTAGAAAAAATGATGTTCTTTATCCATTATAGATAAGATCAGAATATAGAGTCCAGTTTTAACTCTAAGGGTCTCAATAGAAGAGTATGACATGGTGAATTATAATTTAGGTTGGGGGAGGTTGTGGCCTGGGAGCAAACGTCACACAATGTTTAATCTTAAACTAATTCATCATCTGCTTCCATCTCCATCTCCAAGTCCCTCACATTTTATCCAGTATCAGGCAGCAATCCTGTCTTCCAAGTTCTCAGGCTCAAAATAAATTTGCCCACAGATCCATTCAAGCTAAAAATGGTGACACTGAGCTTCTGCTTTGCAAATGTTCATTAAATTTTAGTCCTATGCATTTTGTTGAATTACTTCCTTATTTTGCTTCAAATATGAACTACTTCATCATACTCAATAAACTTTTATTTATGTTTTACGTTCCATATTTTTAAGAGCTTTATGGAGGCTTAATTGATATACAGTGAATTGCACATATTAAAAGTATACAATTTGATGAGAGTGTGCGTGTGGGTCAGTCATTCAGTCGTGTCTGACTCTTTGCGACCCCATGAACTGTAGCCCACCAGGCTGCTCTGTTCATGGGATTTACACCAGGCAAAAATACTGGAGTAGGTTACCATTTCCTTCTCCAGGGGATCTTCCCAATCCAGGGATTTAACCTGTGTCTCCTGCATTGGGAGGCATATTCTTTACCACTGAACCACCAGGGGCGTCCTAATACATAAATCCTATTATTGTTTCAATTTAATACAAGGAAATGGAAGTTTAGGGTAACCCATTCAAGGTCACACTGTGAGCAGAGGAGGCAAGACGCAAACCCAACCTGACTAGTTTCTAAGACCCATAGGTCAACATCACACAATGCTGCCCCAATAAATAAATTCTTCCAGATTTTAGCTCTGAACCATTTTTAGAGTCATTGGATTCTCTCATATCTGTGAAAAATGTTTTAAGTATCCTAACAACCACTTTATTTTTTTCACTCCTTACACGCCTGACCATTACCTGTAGATAATGCACAGCCTGCTGATCTTTCAATCCATCTAATCGTGTTGCAATGAGCACACATTGTAGACTCAGACTCAGATAGCCTCCGGACTATTTTCCTCCCTGCCTCCTTTTGGCATCGTTTTGTAAAATGTTCTATGCTTTGAGTTGGAATGATGAAGAGTACTTATCCTGAAATGAGACTAAAGCATATGCTTTCACCTCTCCGTGATGTAACCCTGAAATTCGAAACTCTCCCATCAAGCCTGACTTAATTTGAAGCCTGGTGGTGAGGTTTTGTTTTTTGTGTTTTTTTTTCTCTTTTTCTATCTCCACATAGAAGCTGAAAGCCTGGCTCTGGGCCCAAAATTGTATCATATTTCCTTTCAGTTGGAGTTTTGCTTTATTCCATCCTCTCTGCTGTGGAGCGATTCCCTCCCAGAGCTGTGGAGCTTGGGTGCCATATAAATTAAAGTTTAATGTGTGTTATTATGATCACTATTATTATCATTACTGTTATTAATAATGTTCTTTTTGGCAGTGTTTGGAAGCCATTCCAGCAGTGACATTTGGCTCCTGGGATAATGGATCTTTTTATGTACAGGCCTGTGGACTTGATGCCTGCTGTTTTTATTGCAGGGAAGACAATTTCCTGACATTGGGAGGGTGGTGGGAGCTGGGAAACTGTGAGCCTTAGCTGGATTTTCCAACGTGAACCAAAGCTCCTTGGGTGACCAAGATGGAAGGATTCTGCCAAGGTCACTGATGAAAACATCAAACCCATGCAACTATTTATTCATTCATTTATCAAATAAAAGTTTGCTGTTCACTTGTGGACCATTTATTTTATTCTTCTTAAAGGAAAATATGGACCAACCACTGTTGCAAACCCTGGGAATGATATGGTGAGCAAAATAAATTATTCTTCCTGCCATCTGGAGCTAAGAGTCTTGCAAAAATGTTGCAAAACCTGGCAGAGACAGGGCTATGAGAGCTGGACCCATGAGCGTGATGGAGGCAGAATCTGCAGGTGTCAGAGATGATGTCTTTAAGCAGAGACGATGGGTCTAGAAGCTCAAAGGTGAGTAGGAGCTTACCAAACACAGCAAAGAGGAACATTCCATAAAAATGAAACAGTATGTGCAAGAGCCTAGTGTGTGAAAATGAGAAGTCCTAGTCCTGATTCATTAGAAGATGCTGTGCCAGCGAGGACATCTGATGAGCGCTGCCATCCATGAACTGGCATCACAGAGACATGTGCATGTATGCTCAGATGCTTCAGTCGTGTCTGAGTCTGCAACCCCATGGACCTGCCAGGCTCCTCTGTCCATGAGGTTCTCCAGGCAAGAATACTTGAGTGGGGTGCCATGCCCTTCTCCATGGGATCCCCCCAACCCAGGGATTGAACCCACATCTCTTGTGTCTCCTACACTGCAGGCAGATTCTTTACCCACTGAGCTACCTGGGAATACACACAGCTGTATTTAAAATGGATAACCAACATGGTAATCCAACAACAAAAAGGATAACCAACAAGGAGGATCCTGTGCTACAGGAGGGCACAGGGAACTCTGCACAATATTATGTAACAATCTAATGGGACAAGAATTTGAAAAAGAATAGATACATGTGTATGCTTAACTGAATCACTCTGTGACACCTGAAACTACCAAACATTGTTAGTCACCTCTACTCCAATATAAAATAAAAAGCTAAAATGATAATAATAGTAAAAAATATGAATCACACAGATTCATTCTCTCTTGCTCCTTGTTCAGTAGGGAAATAAGACATGCCTGGCAGTGTGTTAAGTTCCACATAGGAGAGAAAGTCTGACACAGATTTCAGAGGAGAGACAGTTAACAGCTGTAGACTGTTGGGAAAATCCCTGGAAGCATATAGATTTAAACATAAAGATGCCAATCCAGCACCCAGACCAACGTTGGGTCTGGGGCGGGCAGGCGGGTGGTGGGCATGGAACTGGGAGTCACCACCAAGATTTCACAGTGGGCATCAGGACAGAACATGAGTTGGGAGGCTGCAGGGTATGAAGTGATGAAGGGCAATCGAGGGACAGCATCTAGGGACAAAGGACGCCACGGTGAGACAGATCAACTAGCTGAGCTGTGATCTTTACAGAGGAGCTTGTTTACAGGTGGGTGAGATATAACCCAGGCCACAGAGAAAAAGGAATATGCAAAGTGGAAGGTGGCAGAAGATGCTTGAAAAAACTGCTTGGTCAGCAGGAAACAGCTCAACTCTGCTTCTGTCAGGCTCTGGCATGAAATGCGAGGGAGCCACGAAAGGTCCCACCAGCCTGGACGGCTGCCCCACGGCCCAGGCAAGAGGCCACGCTGCTTTGGCAGGTGGAACTGGGACAAGCATCTCCATCACCTGATTTTCAACCCAATGTTACTTTCTGGCTTTGTCATATCTTGATATATTCTCCGGTTGCTTGGCGGAGAACAACTCGGCTTTTCCAACCCCGAGGCTACGCGCGAAGTGGCAGCTATGGAGAGAGAAATCTCCGAGGTCCAATATGCAAATGGCCACATTTTTCATAAGCCTGAGGGTCCTCGGAACGGTAACTTCCAATAGTCAAATATCCTCCGGAAAGTAGCGGAATGGAAAATGACTTTTTTTCTTTGTGTGTTTAACCTAGTTTATAGAGAATGAATCCCCTTAACCATTTTAAAGGGTTTCTGGCTCAGGCTCACTGCTACGTTACTCTCAGCATTAGACTCGGAATCATTCTCCCCGTTGCACTGATAGCTAGGAAGCCCGAGAAGCCTTACCTGGCGTGTCTTCATGCTGCCCTGCGGGCGTGCGCGCCAAGTCGCTTCGGTCGTCGCCGACTCTGTGTGACCCTGTGGACGTTAGCCTGTCAGGCTCCGCTGTCCGTGGGAGTCTCCAGGCAAGAATACCGCGGTGGGTCGCCTTGCCCTCTTCCAGGGGATCTCCCCGGCCCAGGGACCGAACCCACGTCTCTTACTCCTCATGCACTGGCAGGCAGGCCCTTTACCGCTCGGGCCGCACGGGAAGCCCTTCATGTGGCCCTACATGCGCTCAAAGCCTACTCAGCAGCCTCTTCTAGTCACATTTTCTTTGTGTAGACTGAAAATGGTTTCACAGCACTCGACTGCAAGTTCTGTCGTACCCGGATCGCGGAACCCCACCAAACACCACAGGAGCCGCGGGCTGACGCAAAAGCAGTGAGGAACTGTGTTACAAGCTCGAGCAGGCACTCTTTTCACACGACCGCGAAGGAGCCCCCGGTGAACGCGGCGAATCCTTCTTACCCTGTACAGCAGGGGAAGCGGGAAGGGCAGCTTAAGGGGATTGGTTGATTCTTCAACTAAGGGCGTCTTGTTAGCCACTGATTATGGGTTAGAGTAAGCGGGGACGAACTTTCCTGTCCTCCCCTAATGGGCTCGTTGAGTTTCTTTGTCTTCAAGTTTCCTTTCTCTCCTCGGGAGGGGGTTTTACTCAAAATGGCGGTGCTACGTTTTCCCTCCTCGGGAGGGGGTTTCACATCTCACAGTTCCAGGAGATAGTGAAGGACAGGGGAGCCTGGCTTGCTGCAGTCCATGGGGTCGCAGACTCAGACATGACTTAGTGACTGAACAACAACAAAATAAATCAATGTCCATTTTTTTTTGGTCACTTTTATGGGCTAATTCCTAATTGTTTTAATAGGCTCTCAACTCCCACCTCCAACAGAAACCATCCCACAGAAGACACACCTCTTAAAGCATTATCCTTCTCACAAAAGATAACAGATATTTTTCAATTATTTTCCCAACCTAATAGAAAAGGGAGGGAAAAAGAGGATGAAGAAGAAGAATCAGACCTAAAGGATGCTGCAGATGAAGTCAGCATTTGGCAGGAAATTGAGGAGCTCCCTGCATGCTGATGCTGACAACTGGGAGCTATGGGATAAAGTTGAGATGGCAGATGAAAGCCAAAAACCTCAGGCTCCAGCACTGAACCAAGACTTTTGAGGGGCACGGAGGTGGTCTCTGGCTGATAGAAACCCCTGGAAGCCAGAAGATACATCTGAACTCTAGAGGAAAGCTTCCCCAGTATTGTTCTTACAGATTCTGACAAATTAAGATCAAACAATGATCTCAAAATCAAAGCTCAGAGAGCACCCTGGATAGCAAACCACCACAGATGAGAGTTTGCAGGAAGTAGAAACACATTTAAGTCTCTAAGGATTGCAGTTATTGGAATTGTGAGATATAGAATATTAAATCACCACATATAAAGTGTTTAAAGTAATAAAGATATCATCACAAAGATGAGCAAAAAAGGCCATTAGAGGAATAAAGGACAGATGTGAAATACATTCCACCTTCTAGAAATGACATATATTTATAGTACTGTGTAATACCCTAAATGGGAAAAGAATTTGAGAAAGAATAGATCTATGCATATGCATAACTGAATCACTTTGCTGTACACCCAAAATGACACAACATTGTAAACCAACTATATAGTCCATTATAAAATAAAAATTTAAAAAGAAAAAAATAAAGGTCTTTTAAAAAAGAAAAAGGAAAGAAATATATTTATAGAAAATAAAAATGCAATGAAGAGTGACTTCATGTGGCCATGTGAGAGCTTCTGTTACCAGACATATCTTAATACCCTAGGCAACAACAAAATGCATCATCATCACCATTTTTTAATCAGTTTGTTGATTTCTGCAAAGAAGACATCTGGGATTCTCATAGGGATCACACTGAATCCGCAGTGTAGTTTGAAGGAAATTGCCATCTTAGCAACGCTAAGTCTCTCAAGCCGCGGATGTAGGACGTTTTTCCATTTATTTAGAGCTTCTGTAATTACATTCAGCAATTTTTAAACTAATTTTCACAGACTAGATTTTTCACTTTTGTTTTTTGTTTTTGTTATTTTCTCACTTGAATGAAATTGCTTCCTTAGGTTTGTTTTTGTATTGTTCGTTGTGAGTGTATAAAAATACAATTGATCTTTGTATGTTGATCTTTTCTCCCCACAACCTTCCTGAACCCATTCATTCTAATGGTTTGCAGTGGATTCATTAGAATTTTCTGTATATCAGATTCTGTCAGCTGTGGATAGAGGTTGACTTCTTCCTTTCCAATCTGGGTGCCTTTTCTTCCTTTTTCTTGCCTAATTTCCCTGGCTAGAACCTCCAGTATATGCTTAATTTGTTGTTTTAGTCAATAAGTTGTGTCTGACTCTTTGAAACCCCATGAACTAACTGTAGCCTGTCAGGCTCCTCCGTCCAAGAGATTTCCCAGGCAAGAATACTGGAGTGGGTTTCCATTTCCTTCTCCAGGGGAGCTTCTCAATCCAGGGATGAAACCTGAGTCTCCTGCTTGGCGAGCAGATTCTTTACCACTGATTCACCCAGAAAGCCCAGATGCTGAACAGAAGTGGTGAAAGTGGACAGGCTTGTTGTCTTTATCCTGAGCATAGAGGGGGAGCATCCCATCTTTTACCATCTCCTTTCCTTTTGCATGAGCCTTTAATATAGCCTCCTTTCTCCGAAATGCATCTTCTCAGGTACTAAAGATATGCCAGGACCAAGGGCACACTCATTTTATATTAAAATGACCTCCTATTCCCAAAATACTCCCAAGTTTACTCAGTCATCTGTGCTTGGAGAAAGACGGCTGTATGAGGGGAAGGGTTGTGTGAGGGGAAGAGAGGTCACTGGGAGGCACCCCGCTTGTGGATTTAAGGAAAAGATGACTTGTGCGTTCCGAGAGGACAGCTCCAAGTGTGCTCCGGGTGGCTCGCAGCTCTGCTTCTCTTCTGGGTGTCCATTAGCCACAGATTTACTGTGGGGAGAAGATGTACCGACCTCAGATCAGCAAAGCTAAGAGGCCTCTTGGCAAGAGACAGACAAAGGAGACTGGAGGCAACAAAGGGCCAGAGAAAGACCGGGAGAAAATGCTGTCCTAGCAGCAGTAAATAAATCATTTGGCTAAAAAGGATATTTGGCTAAATTGTCTCCCAGTGTCTATTCCCACTGGGCCTTTTTGATCAGAAAACACAGAGCATCATGAAAAGACTTCAGAGGTGAGGGCTGTATCTCACTGAGAGCTGGGGGGTTGCAGACAAGGGAGCCTCATTGCTAGAGAAGGCACAGGGGTCTCAGTCACACTGCGCGAGGTACCAGCTATACGACCTCGGACTAGGAACAGATCCGTGAGTCTCCATCTTATCAACTGTACTGCAGAGACTACAACCTCTCTTTCACAGGGATAAAGGATTAAGTCATGTGATCAGGGGTAAAGAACCCGCCTGCCAATGCAGGAGACATGGGCTTGATCCCTGGGTCGGGAAGATCCTCTGGAGGAGGAAATGGCAACCCACTCCAGTGTTCTTGCCTGAAAAATTCCAAGGACAGAAGAGCTGGAGGGCTACAGTCTATGGGGTCACAAGGAGTCAGACGCGACTGAGCGACTGAGTGTACGTACACACACACACACACACACACACACAGGATGCCCGGCTCATGGTAGGTGCCCAATTAGGCTGGTTTCCTTCATTCTTTCTTCTGATAGCATGTAGAAAATAGCAAATGTTTCTTTTCAGCATGGCCCATAATATCTTCATAAAACACCTACCAATTATTGAGAATTTCCAAGACTTAAATTTGAGTCCTGCCTTTTGAATCTAATAGTAAACTGTCAGCTTGTTTAGATCACCTTTCTCTCTCTCTTTCTCTGAATCTCAGTTTCCTAATCTATCACCTAGGGAAAGGGGAGACATTTTGAAGGGTGGCTGTAATTGTTTAACTCTCGGTTTTAAAGATGACTGTAATTGTTTAACTCTCTGTTTTATCCCCAGTGCCTGCTCCATAGCTGGTCCATACAAGACACTCGGTCAATATTGACTGAATGAATAAGGCATTGGTCGAACCTTGAAATAATCCTACAAACAGGTGGGCTCTGGCCACCAGTCTATATGTGTGGCACTACTATTCAGTCGAGTCTGATTCTTTGTGACCGTATGTACTGTAGCCTGCCAGGCTCCTCCGTCCATGGGATGCTCCAGGCAAGAATACTGCAGTGGGTTGCCACGCCCTCCTCCAGGGGATCTTCCCGACCCAGAGAGCCAACTCCTTATGTCTCCTGCACTGGTAGGTAGGTTCTTTACCACTAGTGCCACCTGGGAAACCCTGGTCACCAGCATATCAGGCATCAATTCTGGGATCTTGGTCTAGACTCTAGAAGGAACAGGCAAAATACTTACTGGATTAGACTTTCTAAGGGGGCTGCAAAATGTTAGCATCTGAGGACTTGGACAAAACACACATAACTTCTTATTCTTGTTCAAATTTGGCTTTCAGATTTTAGAAAGGGTTGCCCTTCACAAAGCAGAGGTCACAGAGAGCTTAAATAAAAAGCTCTACCTGCTTCCAATGTACCACTGAGTCTCTTCTTAAGACTTTGGCTTACTGTTTTTCTCTTCTCCTCTCCCTCTCCTCACATCTTCCTTCTCTCACATCTGCCTTACCTTCTCCCTGTCCTCACTTTGACTATCATTCTCATCTATATAATGGGAACAACTGAGCTTTCTGCCTATTGAGGATAGCAGGGTTTTATGGAAATTAAATAACTTGGGTGATGAACTTATCATAACGCAAGTAGTAACCATTGTGGCACACAGTAAGACCTCAAGAAATGATCTGTCAGCATTTCCATCACATTTAACCCTTCTAAGAACCTTAGCAGGAGAAAGGTGACTCACCAGGGCCAACCAGAAGAATCTAGAACTGGATATAGAGGTCATCTAATTCTACAGCCCATGTTGATCCATCATCCCAAGCTGGATGAGAGGTGCCTGGGATTGCGTTTGCCCACTGAGACAGACAGAAGGAGCTGGGAGGACCAACCCAATCATATAGTGCAGCCCAGGACCACAGAAAAGGCACAGTAAAAACACCACAGGTATATTCACAGTAAAAGTGGGCAACGGGGTACAGGGAGCCAAGTTAAGCAAGGTCTCCAATTTACAGGGAGCAGCTGTATTGGGTTATAATCAAGTCCAGGAAGACAGGAAACGTCAGGGAGAGACCTCCAGGCTTGAACGTTCGGAGACACAGCTCTGAAAGACAGAAGAGTCTAAGGTGAGCCAGGACTGCACTGACAATAATCACAGCCAATGGCTGAGGCTATCGCTCTATTACAAAGACGAAGGTTCTCCAATGATGAATGAGGATTAGGAGGAAGAAAGCGAAGTGAGTTAATAATGGAAGATTTATTTTATTGACCATCTGTTATTTTCCAGGTGTCTTACATTGTGATTTGATTGATTTCTGACATCATTTTAATTTATTTCTATTGCC